ATATGCTTAGAGATCCAGCTTTCTTTTTCTTAAAGTTGTTCTGACATCAAAATGTATTATTTTATTCAACTTCTGGCTCAAGCATTGTGGCACATAAGTTACAACCTGGGCTTTTTCTACAATTTGACATTTAAAATTTTTCATTCTTGAGATTTTAAAAAAATTCAGTATTGCCTTATATCCTCTAATGGGCAGAAAACTGTAACACGCTGGATCAGGCACAAAGAGTGATCAAGCTTTCTTACCTCCTGTTGCAAAAATAATGTAAAGAGCAAAATCCTGGGGACTATTTTCAATCTGTCAATGGAAAAAAATGAACAAACATGAATGCTTTGTTGTCATACGATGTTTTCTAAGCTGACGAGACCCAAATTATGCGTCTGTTTCTTCACTTCCATTTTTCACTTTCAGACGCAAAACCTCTTATGCTCCCCTGGGGTTAATGTAATTTCTCAGGGAATAGTTACTAAATGGTGCTATACACAAGAAAGAATCCTTCAGAACTGAACATCCAATTTAGATTTACACGTTAATAGATCTTTTTCAGAAGAGTACATTTATTTGTCTGCAGTTAAATTATATATAAGATATTTATAGCTCAGTTTAGTGATAAAGATTACCTTAAATTTTTGGAGAAGTTGCTTTATTACTTCTTCAGTCCTCATGTTACTGTTTATTCTGACCTTAGTTTCTGATCCAAAGGCTGGAGTAAAAATTGATGTCTAGAAAAAAAATAGTCATATCAATCCTTAAAATTATATCAAACTAACAATAGTCATTGCCTTGAACTTTGGTCTTCTCATGGGGCAAAAAAACACAAGGTCGCCTGTTCAAAAATATTTGCTTTTCTTTGTTTTTGCTTTTCTTTGTTGTTGTTGAATATTATGTGTCCTTTTAAGAAGCTTTATATTATTTATAGAGTAAGTCAGGTAAAACATCAGTTGAGGACGTTCATGATATTTGCATCAGGTAATCACATCCCTCTTCGGGATAGTTTAAGATTTCAAAATAAATCAAATATCATAACCGAAAACAAACTAAAAGCAATGTGAGTAGGCTTTTTCAAACTCACACTCTATGCCTTCCTACTGGTTGAGAATAATCATTCTAAATTGCTTTTAGTTTGAACCATATGAAGTAACTGCATTTTGGTAGGTCAGAAATGGTCCAGTGTTGCCAATTTCGTACAGTTCAGGATATTTCTTAATGGAGGGTTGGGGTAAAAGTACTATCAATTGAGGCTCTACGAGAATGTTTCCTACAAGTTTTTCTAATCAAGAGTCAGTTTTTCAGATGATACTTGGTAAAACGTTTCTATGATCAGATAAATTTGGGACATTCTTCTCAGGGATTAGTAATGTACCATAAAAACCATCATAACAAACATATAACCAT